GCTAGGAAATACGTCTTGAGGCTGTAGGTGTCTAGCCAGCCTGCTATTTGTCTCTAGACTTCCAGCTTATCAGAGGTGACTCTGGGAGGGAACAGCTGGTCACCCTGACACCTTCACCACGTACATTTTATCAACTGATGCTCACAACCTTCTCAGGTTGTGATGGTTCTTCTCAGGTGTGAAGTCTCAAGTGTTTAAAATCCACTCTTCAAGTATAGTTCATAAATACTGTCAACATTGTCATTGAAGGGGCCAAACAAGTAAAACAATGATTATTGTGGTGGAACTTCACTAACTCCTTGATGACATGGGAACCTTCTCTCCTGAATCAGGTGATGTTTTTATTTTTCAAATACTGAAAGAATATTTCCTCACTTGTCCTGTGCTGGTCACAGCCTAGTGGCTATGCTCAGGTGCAGTGCGGAGTTTGATCCGCATTCACCTTTTATCCATCAAACTATCAATGTAAGTCGCAGAGCAGAATGAGGAAGAGCAGGTCAGCACAAACCTCAGCAGATTTTATAAGGATTAAAATCACACAAAGTGTATTCTCTGGTCAGAATGGAATCAAACTAGAAAGCAAGAGTACTAAGATAACAGGAAAATATACCTCTAGTCATCAGAACTATGTTGTATCGATGGAATGACAGACACAGAGGACAACGGAATGGGACAGAGAAGCTAGAGACAGACCCGTGTGTGTCCAAATAACTTTTTGTTAGTGTGCAAGAGGCATTCAGCGGAGGATGGCCAATTCAACAAATGGTGCTGGAGTAACGGGACATCTGTGTTGATCAGCTTTCTGTTACTGTAACAGAATACATGAAATAACTAAAGAGAAAAGGTTTATTATGGCTCACAGTTGGGGTCTTTAAGCCTATGATCACTTGTCCTGTTGCTTTGGGGCCTATAGTGAGAAATCTGCTCACCTCCAAGTATCAGGGAAGTGAAAGAGAAAGACGAGGAGCATGTCCCCATCCAGAACATGCTCCGAATGACTGGAAGATCTCACCTCTTAAAGTTCTACCATCTGAGCTAGGGATATAGCTCAGTTGGTAGAGTGCTTGCCTCACCTACACAGGCCGTGGGTTCAATCCCCAGCACCACAAAATTAAAAAAAAAAAAAAAAGTTCCACTGTCTCCAAGTAGCACCATTGTCTGGTGACCAAGACTTTCACACATGCACATTAAAATAGTTTTTTAGAGGTTGATGAACCTTTATTTTATTAATTTACTTTTATGTGGTGCTGAGGATCGAACCCAGTGCCTCATACATGCTAGGCAAGTGCTCTCCCACTGAGCCACACCCCCAGCCAACACATGTGCATCTGGAGGACACTTATCCAAACCAGAGCAACAGCCATAGGCAGGAATGACGCCTGGCATTTTGCCAGAGGGAATGGTTGAAAGGTGACCCTGCTCCGGGATTAGGGTGGATCCTGCTGCCTCAGGCGCCTGGTACTTTGGAGTTCCCCGTGGAGTTCCGGGAGAATTGGCGTGTGGAGCCCGGTGGAGGTAGTGTGTTCCCGGGAAGTGTGTGTGGAGTGCCGGTGAGAGTTCAGGAATAAAGAGTTGCTGCTTGAACCTACAAGGCTTTGTGGCGGCTCGGTTATTTTGTGCCCAGCCAGGCTGCGGCACAGAAATGTGGATTTCAATCTAAACCGCACATCTTATACAAAAATTAATTCCAAAGAGCTCACAAACTTTATAAGCTACAAAATGATAAAAACATTTAGAAAATCTCATAGGAGAAAATCTTTGGGAACTAGAGGTAGGCAGAGTTTGGAGACTTGGCACTCAAAGTAAGACCCTCAAGAGAAGAAAATGATAAATTGGTTTATTTGGGTTCATGGCCACTGTAACAGATTACTAAAAAATTGATGTTTTTTAAACAATGTACTCTCTCACAGTTCTGGGGACTAGCAGTCTGAAATGAGTGCCACAGGGCCAGACCAAGGTGTCAGCAGGGCTGCACTCCCTCTGTTGGCTGTAGGAGAGAATCCGCCCTTTGCCTCTTCTAGTGCTGGTGGCTGCCAGGATCTCCTGGTTTGTGGTTGCATCATTTCAACCTCTGCCTATGTAGTCATATTGCCTTCTCCTCTTCTGAGTTGAACCATCCTGTGCAACTCTCTTACAAGGAAATTCGCAATTGCATTTAGGACCCCAATAATCCAGGACAATCTCGTCATCTCAAAATCATTAATCACATCTGCAAAGTCCTGTTTTTGCTATAGAATGTAACATGCACAGGTTCCAAAGATGAGAACATGTATGGCTTTATTTATTTGTTTGTTTGTTTGCAGTATTGGGAATAGAACCACCCAGGAGTGCTCCACCACTGAGATACACAGCCTTTTATTTCATTTTTTTAAGACAGGGTCTCACTAAATTGCTGAGGCTGGCCTTGAACTCATTATGATCCTCCTGCCTTAGCCTCCCAAATCACTGGGATTCCAGGTGTGCACCACCACCCCCAGCCACAAGTGCATCTTTTGAGGGACCATTATTCAGCCTATCATAATTGGACTTGAGCAAAAATTTTAAACAATGCTTTGCAGAAGATCCTAGGAGGATGAAAAGACAAACTACTAATTAGAAAATACTTGGAAACTATATATTTGACAAAGGACCATATCCAGAATATGTAAAGAGCCTTCAAAACTAAACAATATTTCAGCCCAATTAGAAGATTGGCAAAGCACATAAAGAGAGATTTCACTAATGAGGCTCTCCAGATGGCAAGAAAACAAAAAGCTCATGAAGATGTTCAACTTCAGTAGCTATAAGGAAAAGGCAAATTAAAACCACCACGATATATCACTACACATCTATTAAAATTACCAAAATAAAATAGAGTGACTTCCAAATGTTGACAAAACCGTGTGGCAATGATCACTCATACACCGCTGGCTGGAAAGTAAAATGGTACGGGCACTCTTTTCTTATTTTTGTGGAACCTAGGGCCTCACACTACCCCTGATCCATACCCCCAGCTGGGTACAGCCACCCTAGAACAGTTTGGCAGTAACTAAGCCTATAACTACCATTTGACCCATCGCTGCACTCCTGGGCATTTATCCCAAAGAAATAAAAGCAAGTTCACATAAAGGCCTGTAAACAAATTCTCATGGCAACTTTGTTCTTGACAGCCCCAGACTGAAAACAACCCAGATGTCCTTCAACAAGCAAATGGTTGGACATCTGTGCTAACTCCAAGAAACCACTACTAAGAAAAGAAACAAACTACTAAGACCTCCAGCAACTTGAGAATTACTGGGGGTGGGAGGGGGTCCCAAAACCTCACATATCATCGGACTCCATTTATATGCTATTCTTGAAATATCAAAATTTCAGAACTGGAGAACAGATTGGTGGGTGCCAAGGGCTAAGGAGAGGGTAGGGTTGCTAAGTTAGTGGGTGTGGCTAGGAAAGGGGAAGGAGGGTCTTTCCTGCTAAAGTAACTCTCCTGGATCTTGAGCGTGTTCTACTAATATCTTGTTCCCTATTGTTTTACCAAATGCCCACACTGGAGGAACCCGGGGAAGGACACACTGACTCTTTCTGACACTTGCCTGTGGATCTATCATTATCTCGAAATAAAGTTTACTTTTTTAAAAAAGACATGCAAAATACAAGCCCAAATTCCATATTAGACTCAACAGACATAAAATTCGTCAAAATGTTAAAACTCTGCTCTTCAAAACACACCATTAAGAAAATGAAAGTCGCAGGGCGCTGTGGCTGAAATCCCAGAGGCTCCAGAGGCTGAGATAGGAGGAGTTCAAAAGTTCAAAGCCAGCCTCAGCAAGGCCCGAAGCAACTCAGTGAGACCCTGACTCAAAATTAAAAAATAAAAAGGGCTGGGGACCAGGACACAGCTCAGTGGTTAAATACTCCCGGGTTCAATAGGAAGGAAGGGAGGGAGGAAGGAAGGAAGGAAGGAAAGAGAAAAGTCAAGCCAAAAACTGGAAGAAAACATTTGCAATATATATATTTGACGAAGGATTTATATCTATAGTATATAAAGAGCTTTTACAAATCAATAAATACAACACAGTTAAAACCATAGTGAGATATGCTGTTTAGGGATGTAAAATGGTACAAGTGCTTTGGAAAACTGCATGACAGTCACACCTAGAAATTTATCCAAGAGAAATGAAAGCATGCATTCACAAAAGGACTTGTATAAGAATGCCCTTTCATAATAGCCCCATCTGGAAACGGCCCAAATGTCCATCAACAGGTGAAAGGATAAACAAAGTGTGGCATATCTATACTGTGGAATACAAAGGAACAAACTATTGATACAGGCAAAGACATGAACCTCAGAAACAGCATGCTGAGCAAAAGCGGACTGGCACAAAAGACTACACTGTATGATTCCATTTATGTGAAATTCTTAAACAGGCGAAACTAATCCACAGTGACAGAAAGCAGATCAGTGGTTGCCTGGGGCTGAGAGGGGGAGGGACCTGCCTGCAAAGGAATAGGAGGGGTGGAAATTTCCTATATCTTGATTGTGGTGGTGGGTATAAATATCTGTCACGATCATCCAACAGGGGTAGGGGGTGCAGCTCAGTGGCAGAGAGCGCAGCCTGCATGATGCCCTGAGTTTGATCCCCACCACTGCAAAAAAAAAAAATTTAAATTTAAAAAATCATCCCAACTATACCTGGAACGGTGTGTTTTATTTTAAGTAAATGATGATCAGATAAGATTGATTTTTAAAAGACAAAATACAACCCCGTATCTTGCCTTAATCCCAACAGACACAGAGGTACTACATCAAGGCTTACATTTCTAAATGCTTACTCTACATTCCTGTACTTAATTTCTCCTCCCCCTTGGACAATGAACAGTCGGCCAACTGTCCGAGGGCTGAGGACCCCACTTTGACAACTACTCGGGTTCTCTACTAGACACCCCTGCGGACTCCTGTCTCCAAGCCCAGGCGGGCAAGCTGGAGGTCAGGGGAAGGGAGGCTCCAGACCCCAGGGGCCTCACTGGGCCTTGAACACCGGCTTGTGCTGCACACGCAGCACCTGGTACGTGTTCAGGCCGGGCACGTCAAAGCCGGGGGACAGCCCGTGGCCGTCCAACGGGTAGAAGTTGACCAGCTGCCCGTGCTGGGCTTCCAGCGAGAGCCAGGCGTCGCCGAGCGGCAGCGCGCACGGGAACTCGCGGGCCACGTGCAGCTGGAAGACGCGCCCGCGCACGTGGCGCAGCGCCAACGTGCGGAACGCGGGGGGCACCAGCGCCTCGACGCGGGGCCCGAACTGGCGCAGGCGCAGCTCGCCCGCCGGCCCCGCGTGCACCTCGTAGAAGGTCTGGTTGGCGAAGGTGAAGTAGCCGGCGAAGGGGCGCGCGCTGGGCGGCGGGGCGGGGCTGCGCTCGGCCTCCCGGAGGGCCCTCTCCATGGCCGGCAGGAGCACGTCGTAGGCCTGAGCCACCAGGTCGGGCCCGGGCGGCCGCGGCCCGGCCAGCAGCAGCACGAGGCCCAGGCGCAGCGGGGGCACCAGCGAGAAGGTGGCGGCGTAGCCGTCCAGGTCGCCGTCCTTGCGCACCACGCGGTAGCCGCGCTGCGCGTGGAACTCCCAGGGCGTGCCCGTCTCGTTGGCGAAGTAGGCCCCGGGACAGGCCAGCAGCGGCGCCAGCAGCGTCTTGGCTGCGTCGGGCCGCAGGAGCCGCTGGGGCCCACTGCCCAGGAGCGCCATGGCCAGCTTGGCCAGGTCCGCGGGGGTCGAGTACATCTGGCCCGACGGACGGTACCAGCCCAGGTCGTAGAGCGGGGCCGGCCTCCCGCTGCCGTAGAAGCCGGCCGCTAGGCGGGCGCGCACCGAGGGCGTGAGGTCGAAGCCCGTGTCCCCCATCCCCAGAGGCTCCAGCACGTTCTCTGAGATCCAGCGCTGGTAGTCACCCTGCGTGGTGTGGGCTGCCAGGACGTGGGCCAGAAGGGAGAAGGCCAGCGTGCTGTAATGGCATCTGTTAGGAGGGCAGTGGAAACCGCAGTGAGACCCTGGGCGGACTTCTCCAGACCCTAGTTAGCCCCTTCCACCAGCTCAGGCTGTCTGACATGCCACCCGGAAGGAACCCGCTTCATTGCGTCAGACCCAGAAGAGACTTAAGAAGTCACTGGAAGTAACTCTCCATTTCAGGTCTGGAAAGACTCAGCCCAGAGAGGAGCAGGAAACTGCCCGGGGCACAGGACAGCTGAGGAGAGCTGGGCTCAGCAGGACATGGGGGAAAATGGTAAAACAGATCTTACTGGTGCCTTACACTTTTATTATGATTTACTTTGTCAAATGGAAGATTAAAGTTGTAGACTGTTAATGGGGCCGGGCCAGAAATAATGACCATGTGGCCCAAGGATTATCAAATAATAATAATCTCTCCTCCTTCCTCCAGTGCATGACATTCACCAATAGTCAGTAAAAGCGATGCAGTCTCAGATCTCTAAGATAGTGCCCTAGGAGGTCCCAGGATGGATGAAATGGGCGCGCCTGACTCCAAGCCAGCAGCCTTGCTTCTACAGAGGAGGACGGTGAGGTTCACAAGGTCAAGTGCCTCCCCCAAGGTCACAGGGCAAGTGAGAGCAGAGCTGGAAGGAGGACCCCAGCCTGCGTCCACCTCAGTCGAATCCTCTCTCCCTCAGGGGAAGAGGGCCCCGAGGTTCGGCACTGGGAGAAGCAAAGAGAAATTGGAGGGAAGGTGCTTGATCGCTGTTGAGCTGATGAATGGAAGGAACTGGGTCCTGGGTCCGCGATCTGCCTCCCGCTGGAGGCCTTGGTGATAGGGACTGTGTTCAGGGATGTCCCAGGTCTCTGCTGACTCTGACCCTCCAGGATTTTTCACAGGTATGTGTGTCTCTTCAGGAGGTACCTGACATGTGGCTGGTATCAGGGCACGCTCCTCACCTGGTTCCTGGGTCCACCACCAGCACATCATCCTTGAGCAGGTTCAGGGCTTCCTGGGTGCTGCCTCTCCACAGCAGTGAGGTGGAGCGTAGCCTCCTGGGTAGCCCTAGAGAAGAGCAGTGGTCAGACCTGCTGGCCTGTGTTCATTGGGGAAGTCACTGAACCTTTCTGATCCAAGCCTTATCTATAACTTGAGGGGACTAATGCCTATGTCACAGGGCTGATGTGAGGGGGACATGAGATACTATGCTTAGCAGGGCACTTGGCACATACTAACTGCTCACAGAATAATAGTTCTGGACCCGAGGTGTAACTCAGTGGTGTAGCAGTTGCCTGGCATGCTCCAGGACCTGGGTTCCATCCCACTACTATAAAAAACGTTAATTGTTATCAACTATAGAACATTGAATTTCCACAAAAACTTCTTGAGGTCAGTGATCAATCCGGTTTTGTGGAACCGGCTCCTCTGTCCACTTGAGATTTTATGTCTTAGATGTGACAGGTATTGGAAGGATCACAGGCTTGGGAGTCCATCCATCCATGCACCTGTTGCCAATTTATGAGCATGTGTTTTGTGCCAAGGACTGTTCTGTGTACTAGAGATTCAGCAGTGAACAAAGTCCCTGCTGTGTGGAGTGGACATTCTCATAAATATGCATGCTGTGGAGGGCATTATCTCCACATCAGAAGAGAGGGACTGCTCCTTTATATAAGATGTTCAGAGAAGGCCTTGCGGAGAAGGTGATCCTTGAACAAGTGATCCCTGGAGGAGATGTGGAAGTGAGTCAGACAGTTGAAAGAAAAGGATGTCTTAGGCAGCGGGACAGCAAGTACAAAGGCCCTGAGGTAGGAATGTCATGGTATCTTCATGGGACAGCCATGTGGCTGCAAGAAATGAGAAGGGGAGACTAGGGAGTGAGAGATACTGGAAGTGCAGATAACTGGAAGGGTTTCGCTTCCCTCTGAGTGGGCTGGGGCCTCTGCAGGGGTTTGGGGCAGAGGGATGACATCATCCAACTTGTATGTTACCAGGGGGCCCTGGCTGCTGTGTGAAAGCAGGATGTAGGGTGATTGTGGAGGCCGGAAGCTCGCAGGAGAGGGCCACCATGCTTGTCATGGCCTCAGCCACACGCTAGCCATGGAGGTGGTGAGGAGCGGCTGGGTTCTGGACAGGTTTCTGAGAGCAAGCCCTACAGAACGGGCCACCAAAGGGGCTGTGGAGGTGTGGGAGGTACCAGGAGTGACCTCAGGGCTTGTCCAGCAGCCAGAGGTGGAGTCCCAAGTCCTGGGCTTCAGTTTTCACTCCAGCATGCGGGGTGCACAGCCCTGAGCTGGTGGCTTGCCCTCTCTGAGCCGCCTCTGCTCCCTGTGAGACTTAGAAGAAAGAACCCCAGGGCAGAGGAGCCCTGCTACGGGCCTAGAGCTGCTGCAGGTGGCAGATTTCTCCACTGGTCCCTTTGGGACAGGGAGGAGCCGGGGGGACATTTTTTGAAATTAAATTATGGTTTATTGGTTCATTTTAGATTCACACAATATTGGGGTTCGTTTTGGCCTAATTGTGCAAGCGTGGGGTACAGTGTGTTCTGATCGGTCTGCAGTACTTCCCCTTCCCCTGTCTTCCTGCTCCCTTTCCTTTACTGCTCTTTCTTCTATTTATACATATTTTTAAAATCAGTGCCTTGCAGATGTACATAAAGGTGACATTCACTGTAGTGTGTTCACATAGGTACACAGAGAAGTTGGGGCAGAGTCCTTCCCCGGGTCTTCCCTCCTCCCATCCCTCCTTTAGCCCTCCTCCAGCCCTCCTCCCTCCCCTCCTCCCATCCCTCCTCCCCCCCCTCCTCCCTCCCCTCCCCCCATCCCTCCTCCATCCCCCCCCCACCCCTCCTCCCTCCCCTCCTCCCATCCCTCCTCCACCCCTCCTCTACTCCACCATCTCCCTTGTATTTTCATAGGGTGGGGATGGGATATTTCTTAACTGACCTGCAGCCAGCCCTGTGCGGGGTTCCAGTTATAAATGAAGAAAACCCACAATGTGCCCCTAGAGGGAGCCCTAGGGTCACAGCCAGGGTGGATGTCCCTGTGCCCTGCCAAGGCCTAGACAGCTCCCCCCTCCCTGTTTTCAGGACTGGGTACTAACCCAGGAGCGCCCTGCCACTGAGCTACGTCCCCTTTGTTTTCTTGAGACAGGATCTTGCCAAGTTACAATCCTGGTGCCTCAGCCTCTCCCATGGCTGAGATTGCACCATGTACCCACCAAAGTTTGCATTTCTAATATTACATTCTTAAAGAGAACCCCCAAAATGACAACCTCCTCAGGCTCCCCCAGAGTAACAGGCACAGCTGCTAGACCAGTACCTGCTGTGTGGGTGCTGGGTGCTCTGACTCGTCCACTGCGTCCTGACTCGTTATCGTGCTTTCGTTATAATAGTGACCTGCACCAGTCCTTCCATTGATTGACTTATTTATTTATTTTCCATACTGGGACTTAAACCCAGTTTCATCTACAATGGAGCTACATCCCCAGCCCTTTTCTTATTTTTTTTTTAAGACAAGGTTTCACTAAGTTACCAAGGCTGGCCTTGAACTCATGATCCTCCTGCCTCAGTCTCTGGAGTAACTGGGATTATAGGTGTGGGCCCCCACCAGCCACTGTCGCTGTATTACCAAGGAAAAAAACTAGGCTCAGTGAAGTTAAGTGACCTGCCCAAGATCACACAGCAAGGAGACAGAGCGGGAATTTCGGTGCTTGTATGCTTATCCACCAGGCCACCCTCCACCCATGGAGACCCTGATCCTGTCCTGCTCTGCCATCTCAGGAGGACCCATCCCTCTGCAGAGCTTCAGGTTCTGTACGGGGAAGTGTCAGGCCTGGAGCAAGGCCAGGAGGGACGTCCTGAACCCCCTGCGAGATGGTGAAACGGCAGCCCTTTCCAAGGACTCCGCTTTCTGGAGTTTATGGATTGAAGGCTCAAATATGAGCCAAACACAGCATATGGGACGGGCACCTTAGCCAGGCCACACACCTGAGGCACAGGTACCTCACCTTCTCTGTCACCATCCATGGTGGCAGACAGGCGAAGAGGCCGACAGCAGGTCCTTCAGAACCTTCCAGAGCATCCCTCCCTGTCCAGCCCGTGTCCCTCCTGGCCACGCTCCTTCCTGACCCAGGCCTGCCCCCTTCCTGTCCCCGGCCTGTCTCACAGCCCCAGCCTCCCCTGCCCAGCCTCCTGCATCCTGACTTGTTATCATGCTTTCATCACGTAAATCATTTTATTAAGTAATTCCTTTACGTGACTCAAAACCCTAAATCACCAAAGTGTACGCAGTAAAGCGACCACATCGCTCCCCGGAAGCAGCCTGGTGTTTCAGTCTCTTTAGTTCCTTCCCAAGATGTTGGGTGCACATTTCAACTAAAACATATCTGCGTCCCTAATACACACACGTGTTGCATGCAGATAAGGTGTACATTATACATATATACACATTGTATTTGTACATATATTTTATTTTTATTCTCTATTTGGTAGCATAGTCTATATGCTGTTATGAGTTTTTCTCCTACTTAATATCACACCTTCTTCAATCTCAGTACATAAACATTATTAACCTTTTTTAGGGCAACATAGTATTTGATTGTGTATATATTACAGTTCATGGAGTCATTCCCCTATTGATAGACATGTTGGTTGCTTCTAACTTTTATTATTACAAACTTTGCTGAAACAATTTGTCCACATACTTTATACTACACATGAGTACAGAATTTTCTAGAAGTGAGATGGCTGAGTCAAGGGTATATATTTTTGGTGGCAGGGATGGAACCCAGAGTCTTAGGCATGTTGAGCCTGTGCTCTGCCACTGAGCTACACCCTAAACCCTGCATTTTTTATATTTTTTTAATATTTATTTTTTAGGTATAGATGAACACAATCCCTTTATTTACTTATTTTTATGTGGTGCTGAGGATCGAACCCAGGGCCTCACCCTTGCTAGGCAAGCACTCTACCGCTGAACCACAGCCCCAGCCCCCGAAAACCCTGCATTTTAAATTGTGATAAATCTGCCAGTTGCCCTCCGTCCATCAACTTCAGTTCCCACCACTAATGTATAAAAGGACCTGTTTACCATGACCTCACCAACTTGGTGTAGCCGCTCTTTTGATCTTTGCCGGTCGGGAAATGTGTCTCTCCGTGTAGTTTTAATTTGTGTTTATTTTGTAAGAAATGAGCCTGGGGATCCTTGCACTATTTAAAACATTCTTCAGAGCCTTTCCTGTGGATTGTGGATCCTGCCTCTGTCCCCATCTGCGTTTCCGTGGCTTGTAACCTTTGTATCAATTTGTTGGTGACCTTTATTTGTTTACTAAGGGGCACTTGGCCTTCACTGTGGACTAGCCTACAATATCAACCTGTTGACCGGCTGTTGACCTAATAGGCAGATCCTGGCCTCTCAGCTTGATTCTGACCCATGAGCTGGTGTGTTGTTGATCCATGTTCCCAGCCTTCACCTCCGCCAACCTTCACCTCTTGCACTTGGCCCACCACCCAGGCACTGTGGGTAGGAAGTGTGGCCAGTTGAGGGAGTAGAGCGGGGATCCTGATGGATGTCCCAGGAGTCCCCACCTGAAGGGGTTGGGGTCAGGCCGAGTTGGTTCTGAGACTCACCTGAGAGCTGACTGGCCATCCTGCGGAGGGTGACAGGCGAAGGCCTGGGGGCCGGGCCCACCTCCTCCAGCCCGTCCATCAGGCCCAGCGGGTTGCGAATGGTGAAGGTGCTGGCGTACCGCTCCAGAGGGTCGTCCAGGGAGGCCACGGTGCCCTCCTCCCACAGATGGTACAGCATGAGGACCGGGAAGACCTTGGAGATGCTGGAGATCCTGGGCACAGAGGGCAACCTGTCAGCCCCCCACCCACTCCTGCCCTGCACCCCTAGGCTCCCGGAGGAGCACTGAGCCCACTCCCCGGGATGTGAGACTGAGGTTGCCCAGCCTCTGGGGGCCACCTGGGGATGCTGGAGGTCACCAGGGGCAGGGGCTGGAGTGGGAGGGCGCTCCTGAGTATGAACCCCCACGCCAGGCCCTTCTCCAGGCCCTTTCTACTCTGGGCGGCCTGGTTTGGTCTGTCCTCTGCCTCTTACTGGTGGCTAGACCTATCTGAGACCTGCACGGGTAGTAAAGTGGGTTGGGTGAGACTGTGCGTGTGAAGTGCTTCTGCATCCCAGGCAGGGGCAGTGCTCAGTAAGTGACAGTGAATAGAAGGGGCTGTGTGAAGACTGGTTCCGGGGCTGGGGCTGGGGCTCAGTGGCAGAGGCTCGCCTGGCATGTGTGAGGCACTGGGTTCCATTCTCAGCACCACATATAAATAATTAAATACAGGTCCACCCTTCGACAACTAATTTTAAAAAAAGGACTGTTCCCTCTGGGTCCCTGTTATCCCCCAGTATCCCTGGGGTGCCTTCAATTTGCATTGTGAGCTTGAGGATCCTGTGGACAGCATCCAGGAAAGGTGACCCATGGTGTGCAGCTGAATGTCCCAAGCTGCTCCCATCTGGGCCACTGCTGCTGACTCACAGGGACCTGGGGTGAAGGCCCAGGAAGTGGTTATAGTTCCTGTGTGGCACATGGGAAGGGTGGGGAGACAAGGGACCCCTTCCTCACCTGTTCCACAATGATGAGAAATTGAGTACTCACTGGTCCTCTCTGGACCTCAGTCTTCTCCTCTGTAGAACTCTCAGGACTTCATCATGGGCCCTGGCAGCCTAGACCCCCAGCCACCATTCTCTTGGGTCCCTGCCTTCTAGGTCCCTTTGCCCTCCCATCCCTCGCCCCCCCACAGGACCCTGCAGGCGGCCCAGCTGACCGGTACATGGTGTACTCATTGGGTGTCCCAGAATTCGGGTCAGAGCCGTTCTTCCTCCCGAAGTTCCCAGTCCAGAGCACAGTGTCGTTGTGAATGACGACCGCGGACATGGCAGCCAGGCCCGGGGCCGACATGGCCTGGCGCAGGATCTGGTCCACCTGGAGGGAGAGCGAGAGGCTCTGAGTGTGGTGCGATGGCCCCCCACACCCCTGGGTGGTTCTGCTCAGCCACCGCCACACAGCAGCGACTGAGGGCCCCGTCCTCCAGGGACCCCGGCCTCCACTGAGTGGCTCCCCCGGGGCCCGTCTTACACACAGGCTTCCGCAAACAATTTTGAGCTGGAAGAAGAAGCTTTTCCTTAGCAAAATAGAAAAGATGGGGGCTTGAAAATGGTGACTGACTTGAACCCCGACGCCCTGGGAAACCTGCCTGAGCCCACTCAGGCCCGAGTTGGGGAACTGGCGTGTGCAGAGGCCCTGGGGCCTGTTGGAGCACTGATTGAAGATGGCTCCCGACTATCAGCCGTGAAGTGTGGGGGCCACGACAGCTCACGCCTGTTGGCACTTAGAAGGTGCCCAGGAGGGACAAAGCGATTCCCCTCCTCCCGCTTCTCCCCACTTAACAGGTGAGAAAACTGAGTCTGAGCTGTGACATCATCTGCCCACGGCTGGCGGAACCAGGACTGCCTGCAGTTCTCCACGGACTGCCAGGCACCTCGGGCGTGATGGACACGTCCTGAGCAGCTCTGTCCACCCTCGTCCCCACCCTGCGTGCGGCGCCTCTCTGGGCCTCCCTTTCCTCCTGCGGAGACGGGGATTGTGAGGGATGCCAACAGGGCGAAGCCCGCCACCTGCCACGCACCAGGGTCACAGCAGGCAACTATGGCCGCCCTCATTGCTTTTTAAAATTTCTATGACTCCTGGGTGACCCAGAGCACCCTCTGTCCCCTGTCCTCCAAACGCCTCTCAGGCTTTTGCAGGTGGCGATCTGGCCCGCACTGGTCCTGCCTTCCCTTCCCTGGACCCCACCCCCTTCCCTTCACCTGCCCCTCTGGTGGCAGTTTCGAGTCCCCCCACCACACGCGGGCATCAGCTCTGGGTTCTGATGCGTTTCCTGGCTGAGTGACTCAGGAGGGTGGGTCCGACGGGCGCAGAGCAGAGCCGTGCTGTGGGGTGTGTGTGATCGCATCGCAGTGGCCTCTGTGGCATGGACTCTGCCCCCTCTCCCATCCCATCTGTCCCCACCTCCCATGTGGCCTCCTGTCCTCTGGGTGCCACATCCTCAGCCACAGTTCCGGGCCTTTCCCTGCATGCTGTTCCCGTCGGGAGACGCCCTCTGTCCCAGGCTCCCTGGGTGGCACAGCCTCCTCTTCACAGGGCGGCCCTCCCTGACCCCAGCCAGTCCTGTTTGCCCCCACTCTTGCCCCTGTGGTAGACAGACTTGTCATCTTGTCTGTCCCTTTGCTCCCAGCCTGGGGGTCTGGGGACAGGTCAGTGTGGTCTTCCTGCCCCGTCCCCAGAGCTCGGCTCAGGAAACACACACTGAGCAAGGGGGTAAGTGGACAAGTGCCCACCGCGTGTCCAGTGCCCTCCGGTGGTCACTGACCTTTTCCAGGGCCTCCTTCAACACAGGGAGGGGGTGGGCCAGGGGCACAGACTCGGGGTGCCGGGGACACATCCTCACAGGGGCGGAGGTCACCTCTGGCCCCGAAGAACCTGGAGGGGACATCACATGGTGAGTAAGGACAGAGGTCAGGAGGAGAGTCAGGTCACCCTAACTGGAGGGGGTGGTGGTAGCACAGCCCAGAGCCGTGTCCTGGGGAAAGCCCCCCCCCAGGAGCCTGGCCAGATGCCAGTGCACAGGGCCCACCAGCAGGCACTGAGGGGCAAGGGGCAGAGGGTGCCAGGAGGAGGCAGCGTCCACCTCTGCTTGGCCTCGGAGGTTCAGTAGGCCACATTCCTGGCTGGCGGCCGCTGTGCCCCTCCTCTCTTGCTCAGCCAGCTTCCTGCCTGTGGTCACTCACTGAGCTCCTTGGGGCAGCCTAGCTACTTCTGTCTGTCTGTCTGTCTCTCTTGCCCATATGTTAGGGTGGGGAGGGGCCTAGAGCCTCACCTGAGCAAGGGGGGAGGAGGGCTGAGTCCACTCTGCCCCTGTCCAGGTGTGGCAGCCTCGCCACCTCAGGGCCGGATTCCTGGGCTCCCCAGACCTGAGCTTACCCTGAGAGGCCAGTGTGGGCTGGTGAGGGTCTGAGGACCCCCAGGAACTACCTCTCCTTGCCTTCCATGGCCGCCTGACACTTCCCCAAGCTGAGCAAAGGTCCTGTGGTAGGATCAGCAGGGCCATAGTTTCGAAGCTCTTCCCACCTCCACCCCGGTGCTGAGGCTGAAGGCCAGGGCCTGCGGGGCAAGCACCCTGCCACCCAGCCTCACCCAGCCCTCTCCGCACTTAGGAGTCTGGCTGCTTTATGACTCCTTAAGGCCAATGGAACGAGGGCAATTTGACTTCCAAGCATAGACCAGGGATTTCCTCCTGGGAGACCCTCCTGCCTCCTGGTCTGTGAAAGGGAGAGGCCTCTGTCCCCACTGGCTGGCCTGCTGCACGGAAGGAAGCCCAGGTCGGACCAGCCACGTGGCTCTGCCAGCCCCAGAGTCACAGAGCCAGTTAGCCTGGAGGTCTGTCACTTCCACAGGAAGATCACCTGGGGCGGGGGGTCAGCAAGTTCCCAGCACAGGCCAATGATCAGAGTCGGGTCTCAGTGGAGCTGGGGCTAGCTTGGCCTCGCTGGTGCACACACCTTAAAGTGCAGACTTGATCCCCTAGCGCCGCGCGGGGCCTGAGAGTCCTGCCTCCACCAGCCGCTCAGGTGATGCCCGTGGAGGGTGCGGACCTGAATCGGCGAGGGCTGTGAACCGTGTGCCTCCCACTGGTGACGAGTGGGTACACAGGGGGAGGGAAAGGGCAGAACTCCAGGGCAGTTCAATGGGGCCATTTGGTATTTGCTGAATCTACTAGTAAGAAACTCGGCTTCTATTTTGGGTATTGCTTGAAGTTTTTCCCTAATGGTTCATTTGTGTTCTCTGGCAATGTCAGTCTGCCAGGGAGTGGTAAGATGGTAGCTTGAGAAGCGTGGCCCCGGGGGGACAGGGGACGGGGTCTTTCCATTTGAGGAACTGAGAAGGCGCTTATAGAGGAATCAACCTAGAAAGAAAGGGCTGCGGTGGGAGGGAGGGAGCCGCCGGCGAGGAAAAGGAGCCAAGGTATAAGATCTCCGTGGTACGTTGGGAGCCGTGGCCCTCATTGAGCTTTGGGGCTTCTGTGACACAGGGTGACACAGGCATGGAGACAGGCCTCCCCCACTCCAGAGACCTGGGCGCTGGACCCTCCAGGATCCCAGCGGGTTGGAGTTCCCAGGGTTGCCATAGCAACAGAGGCCAAGCTCATCACCGGCAATGGTGGCTCCTTCGCTGGGCTGCGGGGCTGGGCCCGTGGCTGTGGCGGTGGGAGGATCTCTGAAGGGGGTGAGGGCCCGGAGATCCCGCCATGGTGGCCGGAGGCAGAGCAGGGGAAATACTGTTGGCCCTTGCGGGACCCTGAGTTTTACCCTGACTGGGTGGCTTGAGAAGCCCTGGTGGCATTAGGGGAGGTCTGCATTTCATACAGGAGAGCGTCAAGGCCCAGAGAGGTCACGGAAGTTGCCCAAAAGTGCACAGTTCCCGAGGCCTGGTGAGTGGGAATGGAGGCCGGCTCCTGAGTCTAAACCTGGGGTCCTCCCTGCGCCCTGGGCTTGGCAGCAGCTCACATCCCAGGAGGACCCATGGGACAGGAGCAGGGGCCGTACCAGTGTGGCACTCACCAGTCGGAAGCTTGGGAAGCTGATACTGCCACAGGAAGCAGCCAGTCATGACCACGGAGAACAGGAAGAGGAGGCCGCTGAGGGCCGGGAAGAGCCACCTCCTCCGCACTCTGGGCAGCTGGGGCCGCCAGCCAGCCTGGAAGAGCAGGGACATGGCGGTCACTGGCACCCACCACTCCTGGCCTCAGGTCCCACAGCTTCAGATAACCCCAGCCCTGGGATCCCGGGCCCCCCAGGTGGCCCCTTCAGCTCCTGGCACAGGGCCGCGCACCCTGGTGGCAGGTTCAGGAGATCTGGAGGAGGAAGCCTGGCGGGGCGCAGGCAGCAGGCCGTGTAGACATGGGAGAGTGAGTCCTGAAGCCGTGAGGGAGGGAGAAAGAAGGCAGTGGGCAGAGGGCCGGAGTCCTGGAGAGGGAGAGGGAGATGGTTGTGCTCTCACAGGGCCAACTAAAGGCCTAGGTCCCACCTCCAGCCGCTGTCCCAGACCTGGGCTAAGCCCCTTTAAGAGGAGTGCCACAGCGCCAGGTGAGAGAGGCACTGTGAGTGCCCTTATGTTACAGACAAGGCTCAGGAAAGTGACTTGCCCAAGGTCACACAGCCAGCGGCAGATCTGAGATTTGAACCCAACACCCAGTCTCCAACCTACTCAACCAAGGTTCTAGAAGACCCTTAATGGTCATTGGTTGACTCATCTGATTTCCAGGTGAGCAGATGGAGGTTACAGGAAGGAAAGGGCTTATCACACACACACACACACACACACACACACACACACACACACAGCTCTATGCCCAGCTTTGAGTTACATCCTCATCCGTTTTTGTTTTGAGACAGAGTCTTGCTGAGTTGCTGAGGCTGGCCTTGAACTTGCGACGGCCTTCTGCCTCAGCCTCCTGAGCTGCTGGGATCACAGGTGTGTGCCTGCCTGGCTAACATATACCATCTCAGTGGACCTCACAACCAGCTCACAAGGCTGGTTTGGAACCTCTGTTTTATAGATGATAAACGGGGCTCAGAGAGGTTAAGCAAAGGAAGTCTATTCTACCCAGCTGTCAACCCTGTGTCTGACAACATGCCCTCTTCTGAGCTTCTTCGTCCCTGTACTTTAACATCTCTTTATTGAGCACCTACTAGGTATCAGGTACTGTTCGAGGCCACAGGGTTCAGCAGTGAACCAACCTCAGGAATATGCACCCCCAGGGAGCTGGAGGGGTGGTGCCTGAAACCTGTCTCCCTGGCTGGCCCGCAGCACAGAGGAGGTTTCCTTTCCATCAGAGTGTCTCTGATGCTGAAGGCCTACTATGTGCTCAGCACTGATCCAGGTTATTTATAAACATTACCTCATTTGATCCTTGCAATTGAAGACGAGCAGGTACTATTATTTTCCTGGTTCTTAAGATATGCTTTTGAACTTCACATTGTCCGGTAAGTTGAACCTTGGGTTCCAATCTCAGCTCTACCTCCTAAATCCACCAATCAGGCAAGTCCCTCATGTCTCTGGGCTTCTGCCTCTCCAATTGTTGAAGAAGAGGACTGGGCTACTTGTGAAGAGTTTATTTAGTTAGTTATTTTTGTGGTGCTGGGGATGGAACCCAGGACTTTGTGCACACAAGGCAAGCATCTACCAACAGAGCTCTGTCCCCAGCCCAGGAGTTTATTTTTACATCTGGAAATCTCACTGAATTTCAAAAGAATCTTCCAGCTCCAGAATTTGGTATTCATGCTGAAGGCTTCTTTTTTATTTCCCCAGTGTTGGGGATGATTGAACTCAGGGCCTTACTCATGCTAGGCAAGTACTTTACCACCAAGCCATTATTTATTCTTAATTTTCAAAGATAGGATCAATCCAAATGTCTGAACTGGGGAATAATAAATAAGTATGCTATATCCATACCATGGAATACTACACAGCAGTGTAAAGGGATGGACTTCAGGTATGTGCAATAATATAGATGAATTTCAAATGCATGACACTAAGTGAAATAAGCCAGACTCAAAAGGCTACAGACTATATAATACCACTTATACAATGTTATGGAAAAGGTCAGACTACAGGAAGAGAAAACAACAGTTGCCTGGGACTGGGGCTGGGGAGACAACACAAAAGCAGAAACTGGGGCTAGGACTGTGGCTCAGCAGGTAGAGCATTTGCCTGACATGTGAGGCCCTGGGTTCCATCCTCAGCACCACATGCAAATAAATAAAATAAAGGTATTGTGTCCCCTTACAACTAAATATGTGTGTGTGGGGGGGGGAGAGAGAGAACAGAAGTGAATTTGGGAGTTGGTGGAATCGTTCTCCATCCTGTGGAGGTGATTAAGAAACTGTATGCATTTGTCAAAACTCAGAACTGTGTGGACTTATTGTTTGTAAATGCCTCAGTGTTTGTTATTGTTTGTTTTTAGTTTATTTTTGCAGTAATGGGAATTGAATCCAGAACCTCGTACATGCTAGGCAAATGCTCTGCCATTGAGCTGCCTCCCTGACCCTTGTGTTTTGAGACAGGGTCTTGCTAGATTGCTGAGGCTGGCCTTGAACTTGTGATCCTCCTGCCTCAGCCTCTGGGGCAGTTGAGATCACAGGTGAACACCTCAGTTTTCGTAAAATGAGTCCATTAAAGACCCTGAGAGCACTAGGAGTGTCCACCAGCGTGTCAGAGGAGTGACACCAGATGTAAGACTCCACCTGTCACTGTCACAGGTTTGCACAAAGACACTCCCTTTGAGCAGGAGCAAAGAGCAGCAGGTGCAGAGCTGGCAAGACCTGGGGTGTCCTCACCTCGCCCTCAGGAGTTGGGTGACAGCGGAGGTCGAGGGCAGAGAACACCAGGGCTGGGATGGGGGCTCTGCGCTCTCTCCACCCCACCCACCTCCACGTGCAGCTGGGGGCTCCGCACCCCCAATCTGCGGCCCTCCCTGGGGTTCAGCCTCATCTCCAATCGCAGGATTTATCCCTGTAGACCCGGGGCCGAGTCAGGATTTAGCCTTAAGCTGTTCACCAGCTGCCGCCTTTGGACTCTAAACTCTCTCCCTGTCCCTTCCTGGCTGGAGAACGCTGGTGTGGGGCGGCCCCGAAGGCGCCCACTGCCCCTGCAGTCCACACCAGTCTCCTTGGCCTCCTTGGCCCTTTCCTGGGGGCCCGCTCGGACCGTACGCTTTGTCCACTCATTCATTCATTGGGCGGCGCTGGTTCCCAGGGCTGGTCCACACACCACCCTGTCACTCTGCACTAGCCACAGGGTGCACTGGGACTAGGGCCTGGGGCTGGGGGGAGGAGGGACTCTGCCCTCACTAGCCGGGGACACAGGACTGCACCTCAGGGCGTCTCCATTTTCCCGTCTCTTCATGAGGCCTCCCCGTGCCTCCTGGAGATCAGGCCAGGACAAGCCAGGCGCGGGAGAGGCTGGAGGAGGGGTCGGCCTCTGGGTGGAGGGGACAGAGCGCTCCAATCCACACTGCTCCTGGACTAGGCAGGGGCTCTGGAAATGTCAGTGGTGGCCACGCAGGTGACAGGGGGTGGGCCACTGAGGGCAGTGCCTGAGGCCGCGGGCCTGGGCCTTACCTGGGTCTTCATCTCCCCAAGGCAAGGACGGTCCAGCTCCGGGAGGATTCAGGTCTAGGCGCCAGGAGCCCCAGGACCACAAGCCGAGTCAGAGGAGCGAAGGCAAAAAGAGGTCGTGGGGGGCTGCGAAGGAGAGGAGGGGACAGGAGCTACTAGGAAGCCTGGCTTCGCCTCCCCGGCAAGGCCCCTGCGCAGATGACCAATGTCTCTGTTTGCCCAGGGCCGTCCTGATTTTAGCGCTGAGAGTCCTACCTTCCCAGAGAGCCCTTCCTCAGTTACCAGCAAACTGGGATAGCTGCCACCAACCTGCCACCCTCTAGTTCCTCTCCCCCTCCAGCCTGCTCAGAGACAACCCTGCCAGGCCCCCGGGCACTGGCCAGGCTGACCTTCTTCCAGGAGGCCCCGGGAAGGACAGGGCAGTTCAGGCCCCCCAACGTGATCCCCTGTGCTCCAGGGGACAGGAGAGGCTTCCTGGGCTCGGAGGCCCTGCCCCAGCTCTCCAGGGACGGGCAGATGTGGCATCTGATTTCCCCAGCGCTAATCCCCCACCCGCACCCCAGCAAGCGCCTCTGCCAAGGGGATTAGTGCTGGGGTCCCCAGTGACAGGGAAGGGGGCAGACCTGTCCTATTGGGGAGAGATGGACGTACCACGTGACCGGAGATACTCTAGGATGGAGGTCAGAGGAACAGGAACACTCTGTCCGGAAGGAGTCCCTGCCAAGCCCCATGTGGAAGAGAGGTGGCAGGTGGCAGCTACAGGGTGGGTCCCACAGGGCTTCCTGGACCCTGTCCAAACCCACAGCAGCTCCTCATGCACCTCTGAGGTTTGAAGCCTCGTGTTGAAACTTTCAGGTAACTGGGTTCAAATCCCGGTTCTGTCACGGCCTGTGACCCTGGGTGAAGCACAGTCTTTGTTTCTTCCTCTAGAAAGCAGGGGTAATAATAATAACACCCCGGTTGGAGGGAGGATTACATTAGAGCATGCTTATAGAGCAGGTAGCCCAGGACCTGGCACCTAGAAAGGGCTCCGTAAAGGTCAGCTTCGTGCTCTGACTTGGCTTCTATGCTCGACAGCTGCCCAGCCCCTGTGGGAGAGAGAGATCTCGTGGACATTCTGGAATTGCACATCCATTGATTTTAGTTGACACCAAAGATCAATACACTTGCCTTGTTAGCCCTAGACAAGGCCACACACTGGAATTACCTGGGGGGGGGGGGTCTTTTTAAAACCACTAGTATTGGGTCCCGGGTTCTCAGGACTGTAGCCCAGATATCACAATGTGTGCAGTGTCCTCGGTGATTCTATTGTGTGGCCAGGGTTGAGAACCACGGCCCCAGGCCTGCGTGCCTCCAACTTCACTGCACATGGGACCCTCCAGGGGGTTCCGCTAAACTGCGGGTTCTAAGCCAGTGGGTCAGGGTGGGACTGGCAGTCTCCGTTTCTGGCCATCTCCCAGGTGATGCTGATACTGGCCTGAGGACCACACTTTGAGGAGCAAGACTCCTTGGCAACTGATGGACCCCATCAGCCCCCTCATTATAATCTCCTTTGGCTGCGCTCAGAGCTGGGTTTGTGAATGGGCCGACGCAAACCTGGACCTTCTGTGGCCCCCCTTGTCCAATCAGCTGAATGATTTTTCTGGAACTCTCTTTTGTGTGGCTGGTGAAACAGGCTCAGAGATGGGAAATGAAAGATCACACAGCAGGTTTAGTGATGGGGATGGTGCTAGGACCCAGGCCTTTTCCATCCTACCTGGCTTCTGGGTTAGCTGTCACCCAGCTCAGAGAGGCCTGTGCAGTCGGCCTCAAGGTCAAGGGTATTGACAATGTGCACACACACAGATGAGTGCTTCCTGGGACTGTTGTCCCACGGAGCAGGTTTTATCCTGTCCCGTTTTACTTCCAAGGAAACTGATGCATGAGGTCTCCAGGAAGTAGGAGGACTGAGATTTGGACCCAGGAGTCTCCCAGACAGGTGGGCCTCCAATCTTTTGTTCCCATCTATGAGGTCCCATGAGGCAGGAACTGCATCTTAAAGCTGACGCTGACTGGCTCCGTTAACCCCCTGCAGGGCCCTGAGCCCCCGGCTCATGGTGCCCTCCAGTACTTTCTGGGGGGTCCTCCTTTGTTCTTGCCCTATCTCTGGAAGCAGCCAATTTTACCCTTGGACAGCAGGGCCAGTCCTGGCAAATTTAGCTGGACCGGAATCGCAGCCTGTCATACAGAAAGATGGCCACGCGGTGGCAGCAGATGCCCACCTGCAAAGCCGTGGGTCCCTCCTTCAAGGGACCCTTTACTGGAAGGCTGCTCTTCCTGCACACCCACACCTGGCGCTTTCCATCCACCAACCGAGACCATCCCCCACACCAGCCAGGTAGGAAGCCATCATTCATCCTCATGGAGACTAGAGACCATGTTCATCCTTTGCTGAACTCCCATGGCTGCCTCCTGTTCTTTTGAAAAATTCCAAATCCTTTAATGTTACTCCCTTTAATGTCCTAGACCTTCTCTTCCAGGAAGAAGGTAATTGTCACCACCCTTAACATCAGGGTTGTTAAGAAAGAAGAATGTGGCTGAAAAGGAAAGATAAGTTAAACTTTAACAAGGAAGATTATTTTCCCATAAGATATTGAGCATTTTCCCCATTTGATCTTTGATTCACTGACTCCCCAGTAGCTCACTTCACAGTCATTGAACATGCGCTTCCTGCCTGGGTCTGGGGAAGGGAATGATGGCCAGGCAGACCTAGTATCAGATATTGTCAACACATGTTCACTGAGCTCCTACTTGGGGCTGGACACTGTTCTGGGTGCTTCTGGGATACCTCAGAGAGCTTGTCTCCTGGCAGGAGCAGCAGGTGCATAAATTAAGTGCTGTGCTAGACAGTGATACATGCCGTGGAAAAACAAGTAGAGCTGGGTAGGAGGGATAGATTATAGTGTTAAATTGCCTGGCTGGGGTGGGCCTCATAAGAGGCACATCGCTTGAAGGAAGTGAAGGTGTCCACTCTAGGGAAAGCAGAGGGAGTGTGCTCCTGTTAGGGGAAGAGTACTTTGCAGATGAAAAGAAAAGCAAGAAGACCAATGGCTGGAGCAGACTAAGACAAGGCAGAGTAGTAGACAAGGTCAGGAAGCATTGGGGTAGGGAGGTTGTGGAACCTTCTAGAATACAGGAAGGACCCTGGCTCTTCCACTGAGCAGGATGGGAACCTTCACAAAGTTTGGAACAGAAGACTAGCATGATCTGACTCACCTTTTCAAAGGCACAGTGTATTAGTCTGTTTTCTGTTACTGTAACAAAATACCTAAGGCTGCGTACTTTATAAAGAGGCTTATTTAGTTCACAGTTTTGTTTTGTTTTTTAGAGTATTTTTTAATATTTATTTTTTAGTTTTCGGCGGACACAACATCTTTGTTTTTTGTATGTGGTGCTGAGGATCGAACCCGGGCTGCACGCATGCCAGGCGAAAGTGCTACTGCTTGAGCCACACCCTCAGCTCCTAGTTCACAGGTTTTAAAACTGAAAGTCCAAACAGCATGGTGAGCTCCCTTACTGTGTAAAATCATAAATCATGGCAGGAATGCAAATGTCAGGGAAAGATCACATGACAAGACAGAAAGCCAGAGAGAGGCAAGGTACTAACCAGGGTAACCCAGAACTATACTGATTCTTTCAAAGGACAGCACCCCAGTGACCCAATCACTTTGTACTAGAGCCTGCTGTTAAAGGCTCCACCACTTGCAGGCCTGTATTCCCAGCTACTCCCAGGCTGAGGTAGGAGGACCACAAGTTGAAGGCCAGCCTGGGCAATTTAGTGAGATTCTGTCTCAGAATAGAAAATAAAAAAGGGCTGAGGGTACAGATAGCAGTAGTGGAGCACCCCCTGGGTTCAATCCCCACTACTACAAAAAAAAAAAAAAAAACACACCATGTGCCAACATCACCACCCTGGGAGTCAAGATTCTAGCACATGGACTCAGGGGTCAGGCACAGACCATCTCTGGCTTCTGTGTTGAGACGGGTGGGAGGCAGGGAGTCCAGTTAAGAAGCTGCCATGCATGTTCCGGTGAGAGCCAGTGACTGGGACCAGCAGCAGGTGTGAGCTTCGGAGGCTGACGTTCTTGAAGGTGCAGCTGGGGGGTCTGTGCTGCGTGGGAGTTGGGTGCGGAGCAGGAGGGTGGTGGGGAGGGGCTCCACGGTTGCTGTCCTGTACAGCTGGGAGCAGGGAGGGGGCTTTCCCTGCAAGCCAGGGACGTGGGGAGCAGGCGAGGGAGGACCCCGAGTTCAGGGCTGGCCACATGAACGGTGAAATGTCAGGGTGAAGCTGGGAAGCAGGCAGGCGGGCACCTGCATCTGGAGCTGAAAGGTGGGCACCAGAAGGTGCGATCTAGACAGTGTCTGGCCTGTGGCATTAGAAGATATTCAAAGCTATCACCAAGGAGTGAGATGGAGAGAAGGAGGAAGCTAAGGACCGAGCCCAGAGGCCCCGGAGAGGTTAGTCCCTGGGAAAGTGGATTCCACTAGGTCAGGTGGCCCAAGCAGCCTTCACTGGGGTGATGCAGAGGCAGAGGGTCAGAGCTGACCGAGGCCTGGGGACCTCCAGCCTCCCCTTGTGCAGCGCTGGAAACAGGCAGGACATGGCTGGAAACGCCAGCGTGTGCCCTGGAAGGGAACCCCTCCTGCCACTCGACCTTTATAGGCAAGTATAAGGTCAGTGTCACCAGCAAAGCACCTGGTCTGAGCTCAGGGAGCCACCCGCAGTGCTGAGGGCACCTGGGACCCTGTGGGAGGTGGAGACCGGCTGGACTCACTTCTGCTTTAGGGATGGAGCCCCTGAAGACCCCCCTCCAGGTTCTAGAGCCCCTAGAACCTGGAAGGAGCCCCCAGGGTCTCCAAAAGGATGCAAATTGTCTGACACAGATCCACCCGCTGGCTGAGGTGTTCACCACATGTGAGCCCCCCTACAGGAGTGGCAACCCTCAGGGCTGACGACAGGGATCAGTGGTTGCTGGCAAACCTGGAGGAGACTTCAGAGAAACAGAGAGGCCTAGAGGCGCAGCGCAGAGGCACAGCCTGATCCCTCCGGCCCTGGAGACCAGGTCACGTCTGAGGAAGGAGCCGAG